TTTTTATCAAGCACTTCAGCAAATCCCTAATTTCCATGTCAATCGAAATATCTTATGAGCCTCGTTTCCGGTTGCTAGGAGGAGGATTACAGGAACAGTATCTCGACCAAGCGACTGTGACCATGTCTGTTCCGTTTTGGTCACCATTCATGATCCAGTTGGGCTCCCGGTAGTGCGACCTCCGAACACACAGCAACGTGTTCCTGCCGTGTGCAAAGCCTACTGCAACCCTGCACCAATCGCTCATGAAACTGGCCTCGGACAGAGCTGTTTCGGCTAGGCGCCGCGGCGGCCTTCGGCAAAAGTCACGAAGTCACTGCATATGTGAAGATTAGCTACACATGCTGGAATCAAGGCACTATGTTGTTCTGCACGTTCCGAGGAAATTGAGTTAGAGAATAGGTCTCACTGTAATAGGTCAGTTTGCTCCTTTCAAGCTCTCTGCGACTCCGGCAGCATCAGAATCTAAGTCATCCGAGCGCAAGACCTTCAATTGTCCGGGGTAGGGCAAAAAGGCTGAGGCAACGACCGACATGATTGTCTGGAAACCAGAAGACCTCTGCTTGAATGGAATCAGCAAGGTAAGGTTTCTGGACAACTTCTTGTGCTGCAGAATCCTGGAGGTCCCTTCCTGTCTGACAGAGCTTGACATTCGCTCTTATCCATCGAATCCGTCATCGCAGATCGCAAGTGGCGCTGAGATCTGAGCACATGCCTCGCGCACGTGGCATCACGTCGGCCTGCAAAGCTCAAGCTCTCAAACCTCTTTGTGAACCGAGCCTCTCTGAGAGATGCTTGCTCCGCGAATTCTGGGGCGCATCGAGCACAAGCATTGACAAGCTAGCAGTGGCATGTGGTCTTTTTGCTTACCGAAAGTTGCGGGTGCAGCAAACGCAAGATCCTGTATCTCAAGAAGCGCTGAACCACCTAAGCGCCCAGTGGACAGTGCCAACGGCTCCTTCGTTTGAAGCAACTCGGCTACTACTGCTCTTCGCTTTTCTCTTTGCTTTCTTGGAGACTGCTCAGGTCACTGAGCGGCGCAGTAAACTCCTTGATGTCGCAGATTTGTCAGGCGTGGCTTGCAGCTACCACGTCGCGAGTTGATCGTACGGGCCCTCGAGAGTTAATGGGCTTTGTGAAGCTCGCCCACGAAACGTGTGCACACACAAAGGCAAATCTAAATAGCTCAATCTTCCATGCAACGACTACCAAGCCCCGATGCAAGATCCACAAATCTTGCCAATGCGGCGGAGTTGTGCGCCTTGAGTTGAGCAGCCTTTTTACACCGGGAAAGGCGTGGCATTGAACGGCTTCCTATCCGCCTGAGTCCTGCAGAACTGACTTTGGCTAAACCCAGAGCCCAATGCCGAAGCCGAAAGCCTTGCCATGCGCGACGCATGCCCTCTCTACCCAAACGCCTCGCTGGGGATATCATCCACACCCTGCAGCAGCCACACATGAAGTACACAGGGCGACCATGATCTTAATTACTATGCGAGGCAGACAGGAATTAACTGCATACAGCAAACAGCAATTTGGCGCACTTGGCCGATCGAACAGCGAGCCTAACGTGTGTTTTTTGCCCGCATTTCTCAACAAAAATAGTCTAGGAGTCTACCTACTTGGCTGTGCATTACGAGTACTGCTGAAGCTCAAGTTGCTCAAGTCGATGCCTGAAGGGCGTCTGCAGCGTTGGCTTTGGCTGCGGATCCCTGGCGCCGCGAGCTGAAGCAAGCGTCGGCAGGACGACTTCGCAGTGACATCTCTCGGCAGGAAGCATGGGCTGGTATTTGCACTTCAAGGGCCTGTCGGGCAGCCGCCGTACGAAGCACCTCATAGGTCGTAACCTCACTGATGAGCAGGCCAAGACAGATGGAGAGAGGGTGACGGAGCAGGAGGAGCATGGAGGGGAGCGAACCGAGAACAAACGGGAAAATGCCTGTCACATGAGGTGTGGAGTTTGTGAGGTGTTGGGAGGTCGGGATGCCACCGAGATCTCAGCAGTTTGCATTGACACGCATTCCGGAGTTTAAGGTGTACGTGTATTGGGCTGCTTGGACCGTGCTTGCCCTCCTTCATATCAAAACAGTGAGCTTTCGAGCGCTCTCAAATCCACCTCATCATCATCATCATCATCAGCCCTCCGTAGGCCACAAGTCGGCTCCAAAGTCACATCTGCAGCCGCAACATCGCCGCAAGGGACCGCGACCCTTCACAAGAACCCGCATTTGCGAACCGTCGCTTCACGCCAATCTTGGCATGAGAATTGCAGGATCCAGCTGTCAAAACAGCGAAAGCCACTAGAACCACTGGCTCAGACTCATCGGCATGGAAGCGATAGATCTCGAAAGCACTGGCGCCCAGACCAGTACGGTTTGAACGCGAGGACTTCCTGCTGCCTCAGAGAAACAACCCAATCTCTGGAACCAGAACGAAAGTTTCGATGTGCATGACACAAGCAAATTGTCAAGCGATTTGGAAAGTGGGCCCAAGATGTTCTCGCAATAGGCTCCACACCGCTTCGGAGCTTCCCGAAGGTCCCTGGCCAATGCATCGAGTCAAAGCTGATCATTTCGATGATGTCAAGATTTGCAGAATACCGATGCTGCCCACTCCTCTTAGCGCAATAACACACTCCCACATACTCCCACTCTCTTCTTACAGGCTTTCTTGTGGGCGGACGAGAAGGATCCGAGGCTGACATGCTCTCTGGGGGGTGAATCGAATCTGCCCAAGGTCACGAACTAAGCCGCCGGTCCTCAGTGCTTTTCTTTCTGTTTCTCTCTCGCTCGCATTAATCATTAATCATTCTTCGTTTCTTCTGCGTATGCGGCTTGACTAAGTAGGTAGATATCTCCCTCAGGCCAGGTACAGCACAAACCCCGGATGGCCACCCCTTTGTCGGAGACAAGTTTCGCTGCTTTTGTGGCTGCCATTGCTGTGTACCCCGGCACCCAGCCAACTTGGGCTCAACGACTTGAGTTAGGAGTTGGGCAGTGCGTGGTCCCTCGGACAAACGCTGCTTTCCGCTCCTGTATTCACTGCGACAGCTTTGAGCTTTCTAGATGTCGCGGCGAGAATGGAATCTTTTCTTCAAGCCTTCGGTGTGATCGCCCCTGGGCGTTGGTATGCCATCTGTGACATTGATGATGAAGCTACAATCCTGCCACCTTTCAGACTTGTTTCATCTTGTTTCCCCTCCTCGATCCAGTGCTTCCGAAGATTGGCCAAGGTCACTGCTCTCTGCTCGATTTCCACAAGTCGGGTTTGTCGAAATTTGGCTTCCAGGCTTGCTTGGCGCGGGCTTTGGGGTGCGCTTGGCGGTGCGAATAGAAATGGTGCGAGCAAAGGCCACCTGACTTCACCTGCTCCACCTCTGCAGCACTTTTCTAACCCGCTCCAGTGGCCCGAGTGGGCTTGGCCCAGGAAGGACCGGGACCCTCAGGATGTTGCTGCTCATGGCAAGGTCTTGAAAATCGCAAGGAGTCTTGCACGGACTCTTGACCTGCATAGCAGCACCGCCCTTGAGCGTTAAAGACTTCGGTGCGGCTGCGGCAAGATAGCTTCAAAAGGGGGTGGGGAGCGGGGGGCAGGGGCAAGGCAAAACAATGTATTACATCGCAGTGCTTGCCCGATATTCTCGATTTGCAGCCAACCGACTAGCTGACTAAGCATCTGTGTACCTGTTCCATGTGAGTCAATGTGGTCTCGCCGTTCGCACCAGATGCCTAAGGGACAGTGGGAATGCCGCGGCATCGTTGTGGATCATTGGAGAGCCCGCGGTTCTGCGGACCGTCGATGTGCCGGCAAAATCCTTGAGCCTGTGAGCGCTGAGTGATAGGATAGGCTCATAAAGAGTCCAGCAAGGTTGCAAGCCAAAGGTATCCAATTATCCAAACTCAAACAGAGCAACAGAGGAGACTGCCCAGCATGAATAAGACTGTGCAGAGATGTGCAGAGTGCACAGTCACGGAAGGACGAGAAGGGCCAGATGAGGATGCTCCCGTGCATGGTCTAACGGTCTGAAGATTGTCCTTTCGCAACTTGCACAGCATCTACCTACGAGCCTACGAAGTTTAAAAGCGGTGAAAGTGCCATTCGGCAGCACCTGTGTTGCGGACTGTCGGAGGCCAGTAGCTTGGACTGCCTTCGGTACAAAGTCCGACTTGAGAATGCCTGGCTCACACTTCATGAAGACTTCGGTCCTCGGTGCACTCGCGCATCTAGCTCACACACACACACACGCGCTACAAACGAGCAAGCATAAGCACTCTGCCACTTTGTCTCTCCTCTCGCCAACACGGGCGAGCATCTCCGACGTGTCAACAGTCTTTTCAGCTCATCTACTCCGGTGAGCGTCGACAGTAAGCCAGCTAGGTTGGGTGGACAACGTGATGCTTCAATTTGCTGCAGGCCTGCCGTAATCGGTCTCTTGCCTTCAGCCTGCAGTGTTGGTATGTGTTGGTCATAGCTTCATTGCTACGGATCTGTGCCCCCTTAGCCACTGAATGTTGACAGGCCTGCAAGCTGCAAGCTTTGTTTAGATCCGAAGCAGTGGCTTGCAGAGGCAAGGCAAACTTCTTACACGACACTTGCCACCGTTGTGAAGATGCAGAGGGTCTAGTCACAGCCTGGTGTTGATAAGACTCGCTTGTGCTCGAATGTTAGAGAACAGACTTGCTACACGGAGCAGACAGTTCCAAACTAGCCGAGGGCAGCGCGAGTTTTTAAGGCGGCGCCGCGCCAGGCGGGAAAATGGACCTGGATCAACGAAGTAACTGGATGCAAGCGTGCTATGGCCTTGGGCTTGGGCTGCTGGTGCACGAGAACCACGTTCACACCGCACGCTACATTCACGCTACCCCTGCACGCTCCATGTGCTTGCTCTCCTTTGCAAGGCTGTATGTATCAGGACTCAACAGCAGTTCCATCAGTTGCAATTTCTTCTCGGTTTCCTTGAAGAACCGATGGACGCCGGGCAGTGCCCGAAGCATTTGGCGGGCGGCGATTTCAAGAGCTGAACAGCTGCAATCTGCAGGGGCCACAGTTTTGTTTCGGAAGCTACGAGATCGAACACCCGGCTCTGCCGCACACCAGTCCTTGCTTGGTTCGTTTCCCTCCTGCGGATTGCCCGCCTCTGGTTCACTTCTAACGCTGACTGTCAGCGACTTGGAAGCCGACGTGCGGTGCTCCTCCACGGACGCTGTGAGAGGCACGTGCGTCGCCATGAGCGGATGAAAGTCCGTCTGAGATGAACTATGATCATCATGCACCTTGGTGCGACATAATGTAACGCAACAGGAAAAAAGAGCATTGGGCAGAACAGCGAATCCCATGAGCCTGGAAGTTGTGAAAATTCTGAAGCTTCTGCGTCGGAGCCTCGACCTCCGTCTCCTGGAATATGAAACGCTGCACTGCGTTATCCAACACAAGACTCGTACGAGTAGGTTTGCTAGCTGTTGCTAGATCCTGGGTGTTGCGGCAAGTTCAGGGCCGCGGGGCCGTCGGAGCTGAAGCCTTCCTCCAATCCTGGAATCTCGACCCCACCTCCTCACTCTCGGAGTCGGTGTCCGTGTTGTCCATGGGCGAGTATGCCACATACGGCTGGGCGTGCTGCTCAGCCTCTGAGTGAATTCCGGACTGAACGTGTACTGGCTTGGCGCACCACTCTTCGGGCACATTCCAGTCATTAAACAGTCGTCACTGCCTGGCTAGGTCCTCCGTGCTGGCAGCTTGCTGGCCTTTGGCTCCTCGCGCTGTGGCTTCGACGACGACTCGACCATTATGAGGCTGCGCGCCGCCTTGGAACAAGGTGCTTCAATTTGAAAGGTCTCGGTCCTGTGATTGTAGTAGCATCGCGGTATTTGCTTCACTTATGCCCTCATGCCGTACGTAGGGGATCTTAGCATCCTCAGCGCGCAAAGGCCTTGCACACTTTGTCTGCATAAGAGCCATGTCCTACGACAAAGGTCAAGAAGGGCATGGAAAAATCATGCTCTGAATGCTGACTGTTTCCGGAGCCCTCTCAGGAGCCCACCTCCACCTGACAGACAAGCTGAGAAAAAACCAGACTGTGCATGCATGTCCCGGATTTAGTCAAAGGAGAGCTTCAGCAGCCAGACACGAAGGCACTGATGGACTTGATGAGGACATCAACATGAACAGGCCCTCGAAGGGCACACAATGATATATATATATATATATATATATATATAATATACACCATGCACAAAAGTTTGCTGGCATTCGCTGCAGCTCAAAGCAGCGAAAGCGCTTCCGCCAACTCGTGGGGCTTCAAGATATGTTCCTACTACTGCTACTCTCATCGCAAACTCACAAACACCTTCTACCACTCCTACGATTACTCCTATGCCGACTCCTACTACGACTAAGACTACTACTACTACTACGACTATTACTACGACTACTACGACGACGACTACTACTACTACTACCACTACTACTACTACTACTACTACTACTACTACTACTACTGCTACTGATACTGCTACTGCTACTGCTACTGCTACTACTACTACTACTACTACTGCTGCTACTCCTGCTGCTGCTGCTGCATCTACTGCGACTACTACTACTACTACTACTACTACTACCACTGCTACTACTACTACTACTACTATTACTACTGCTACCACTACTACTACTACTACTACTACTACTACTACTACTACTACTACTACTACTACTACCACTACCACTACTACTACTACTACTACTACTACTACTACTACTACTACTCCTGCTGCTGCTGCTACTACTACTACTACTACTACTTCGACTACGATGAGGACTACGACTTCGACGACTATTCCTATTCCTATCACTGCTACTACTGCTACTACTACTGCTGCTGCTACTGCCACTGCTACTACTGCTACTACTACTGCTGCTACTACTAGTGTGACCTACTACTCCTCGTGCTGCCGCTCCCGCTCCTGCTCCCGCTGCCGCTACGGCTACTGCTGCTACGGTTGCGACTGCTATTACTGCTTTCTGCAAGGGCGACTGCTACGACGACTACTGCTGCTGCTTCTGCTACTGCTACTCCTACTAATGTCGTGGCACTATGAGATCTCCTATGTCATCAATCACTTAGGTCTTACTGCTACCGTTGGGGCCCAACGGGGGCTCAGGCAGGGGTGTAAGTTAGCACCTTTACTCGGGACGCCTGCCCTGGCGCAGATCTATCAAGACTTGCTGACCGAAGGCGATCCACTCATCACTGCTATTTGGATGGAGCAGAGCTCCACCATTTATGCTGATGACATACATCTCAAGGAGACTATGAGCGGTGCTCGAGATCTGGAGAACATGGTGCATCGCTTCTGCAAGGTTCTGGATGCATTGGCTGCTCATGGAATGGTCATTAACTCAGCCAAATCTGCTCTGCTGCTGCGACACAGGGGAAGCTTCATCAAGGGGTGGCTGCGCAGACATCTCAAACATACCCCGGATGGGGATCTGCTGCGGCTCCGTAGCCCGTCTGGCAACCTTTACGAGATACCGCTCCGCGACCACCA